AGCGGTGTTGCATAATTTGTGCGTTTAAACGTAGTTAAAAATAAATAACCGACAACTTTTTAGGATAATAAAAGAGTGCGTTTTTTTTTTTTTTTTTTTTATTGTAAAATTAAATGCTTCTTAAGTTTACCAAATATGTGGTACACATTTAAATACCGAAAAAGTCTCGTGGCCGATATAACGGCCCCTGATATAACCGACTTGATAATTCGCGGACGCGCGTGAAAAAACGTGCCCGAGTCAATGTTTCAGAATTCGGGAAACATAAAATGTAGTCTAAAGTTGACTTAAATTTTCTTACGCGGCGCATTTGAAAAGTTCATTATAGTTTAAGTTAAGGGGATTGGAAGCGACGAGTTTCTGTCTTTGTCTTACACACGTGACATATAGGGATTTAGACGTGTTTTTTCATTTCAAACGTACCGATTGATCTATTGAAGCGATAAGAATCCTGAAAACAGATATGAATTTTTCGTGAAGTCTACTTGAGATCGACTTTCCCACTTATTTGATTTTTGATTTTGATTTCTTAAAAAATTTAAATATTCCATTTTTTTTCAATTATTCTTTTATAAGTATGGCTTTTTTTTTAGAACTTAAGGAGATAAATTTATATGGGATAAAAAGATAAACATATTGTGATATTTGTATAAAATTGATAACTAGCAAGTTGTTATCGGTTTAAATCGAGATAAAAATATTGAAATATGTTTGGGTTGAAATTAAAATTGACTGTTAGATTTAAGTATTTCCACAAAGAAAGCTATTGCGGGCATATTTTGTAATTCGGGGGACACGGATTTCAGTTTCTCATATTATAGGGAACAATGATTTCATTTTAGTGTTATTTCGTACGTTTTGCAGTTATTTTCAGTGCTTTTCATGCACCTTTATTTCGGTGGTTTTTTTAAGTGCATTTTAAAGAGCTGAAAATTGACTTATATTTTAGTGTTGTAACCTCCGTGCCTTAGCCTCAGTAGTGACGACAAAACGAACGTATATAATATAATAGTGTCAGTGGCGTAAATAATTGGCCCGTGCAGATGTTGCACTTGCACCGTCACATATTTGAAATATCACGTGATCCACTGGCATTATTTGCCGCTGGCATGGTCGTACTTCACATACTAAATATATAATAGTAAACAATAATTTTTTCAACGACGAAATAATGCAGTAATAATATTTGATTTTCGTCAAAAAAAACCAAACAGTTGTTTGCAGGGATTGAGATCAATCGTATATTAGGCGGGGATTTACCGAGAAAATTAAAGTAATGTGGATTCGGAAAATTATAAATTTCGCCGATTTACGGCACTTACACAGTTGCAGGTGCACAGAGTGTCCCGCGAGGATTTGACAAATACAACAACTTTCTTTCTACTCATTAGCTTTGATATATTTCTTTTCAAAAAATTACTGTGCCTCTGCGCTACAGTTTATATATATATAAACATTTTTATTTTTTTATGGGGAGGGGGACTTATAATAAACAATTTAAAATTTTACTCTAGTTTTTTTGAAAAAATTAAAAATAACCATTTTGTAAAATAGATTTTCAAAAAACTTTTGGTGGTTGAAAACTTTGTTAAAGTATAGGTCATTTTTCTTTATTTTCTACGATTTTTTGAAAATTTTAATAATTTTCTTTTCAATCATAACAATATTGTTTGTCAACATAAATCACCATTATTGATTGATTGATACTACTTAATACCTATATTATGATAGTAATAGTGTTATTGCATGATATTAACTCACGGAAAAAAAATGTTTGGCATGCGCCTCGACTATAATAACTGATTAAAATGTATTGTAATATTCACATTTGCAAAAACCTTTGAAAAATCGTAGAAAATAAAAGACCATACTTTCACAAAAGTTTCAACCACCAAAAATGTTCTAAAAATCTACTTCACAAAATGGTTGTTTGGAAATGTTTTAAAAAAATTATAGTAAAATTGTAAGTTTTTTTATTTCAAGTCCCCCGTCCTTCTGAAAACATAAACGGTCATGTATAAACCGTAGCGTCGAGGCGTGCTAATTATTCGAAAAGGCACATTGAACAGAACAAAAGTTATTGCTTTTGTCGATTCCTCGTGGGACACACTGTATACTATCGTGTCGCGTGGAAAAGAAGCGAAAAAAAAAATCGCGCGATTTTTCGCACTCGGTTTTCGCCGATATACCGGAAAGCCGTCATATTATTATAATGATATACAATTTATTAGTGTGCGCGTACGTTAAAAAAAAAAAATAAAATAATAATAATAATAATGATAATAAAATAATGGCATGAAAAACAAAAAAAAAAAAAAAAAAAAAAAAAACTAGTTTTTTCACCTCTGCACACACACACGCACACACACACACCGACACTGTACCGCGCGTAATGAATGGTCTTCTTATTAGCCGACTTTGTCTTTATCGTTATTATTATTATTTTTTTTTTTTTTCGTAACGACTTGCCGCGACGGCGCGGAAAATATTACAGACGAGAGACCACAGACAAGACGCAGGAACGCTGCGGGATTATGTGGCTCATCTCGGTTGACGGATCGGTTTTATTATTATGATTCCTGTCGATAATATTCCGTTTTTTAAACGCGGTGAAAAATATAAAAATTGGAATTCTGTTTGTACGCGTCCGACTGTCCGACAGACGTCCGCCACAAGAATGTATACCGTTTTGTTCCCGATCTCGAATCGGAAAAATAAAATAATACGCGATCTATGCATAAGAATGAAAACTGATCAGCGTCCCCGAATCAGCTATTTTTCCAGACACCGTGCGATTCTCAAAACATTTCGGACATTTTTTTTTTTTTTTGTTATTTATTGTCATTTGAAACTATCGATTTTTCGGGGGGTTTTATTCGGTTTTTTTCTTTTGCGCGAAAGTCTTGGTCCCGCGAAAATGCTTGAACATTCAACGCGTAGTAATGTTTATCACGAGTGGTAAAAAGTGGTAAAAAAAAAAAGAAAAAGTTAAGCGTAGTATTTATTCATTAAAAACGGAAAATTATACTTAAATGAATAGAGTTCAAAATTGAATGAAAACGCATTTCGATAAAAAGGCAAAAATACTTACCAGTCTCATGCGGCGTTCCATTTAAAAACAAAAAGTGAAAGTAACGATATGATTTCTGTAAAATTAATCGAGGTACGGAGTCCTCTTTCCCTCAGTTTGAGCACTGCAAGTTTTATTCAGATCTCGACGAAGCTTATTCTAGAGGATGATCGTCGTTTGCTTTTCATCTGGAAATTCAACTTCTATAGGAGAGTGACATGGGATTTTTGTATTTTGGATGGTAAACTGATTGTTTTAATTTTTTTTCGAGCTGCGAAAAAAAAAAGAAGCTATTGGAGCTATTGGTTTTAAAATGCTATTTATTTCTTCTTTGTTCTAGTCTGTGGACACGTTTTTTCCTAGTAAACTTGCTCCGATTTTCACGTGTAGCAACTTTTCTAAAAAATCAAGATATATAGATAGTACATTACAGATGTAATTTTTTGATTCATGATTCGTCATTTTTTTAAATAAAAGCACTTAAGTGGGAAAAAACGTAGGAAAACGTACGTTTTCTACCAGAAAAAATGATTCAATCGAAAAACCACAAGACATTTTTTTTGTTACCTTTTTGATTTACTTTCTTACTGTATCATCGTCAAAACTTTTGAACTTTTAAAGGAATTTTAATTTTTAGGAGTTTTTTTGCTATATTTCGGTTTTAAATACACGTAGATACTTAAAACTTGGTAACAATACTTATATTAGACTTACCTAGACGTGGTTATATTTCCAAAATCATCGGACGACTTTTTTCCTTTTTTAAATTTTCTTTAAAACGATACTTTATTTATTTTTTTATTCTGTAGACCATTTTTATCCTAGAAAACTTGCTTCGATATAAAAGAATAGTACCTTTTCTGAAAGTCAATTTTATCTACTTGGTAAATACATAGGTCATATTTTGATTTTCGAAATGGTATTGAAAATAAAAACGATTAACCGGGAAAAAACTACGATTTTTTCACGATTTCGTTATTTTAAATAAGGACCTGGCTCGTTTTTTAACATAAATAAGACTCCAATTAAAAACGACAAAAGACCTTTTTTTATTGAACTATTGAACTATGTTGTTTTTAATGATGCAGTTCGTTTTTTTTTTGATTTTCTCATTAGTTTTCATAATTATCGGGAAAAAATGTAGAACGGTTAGGTTAAACAAAATTATGGCACTTTAAACTATGTATTACTGAACTGCACTCGGAATCGTCTTTCTGATTACAAATAATACTAATTAAAACTAATAATAATTACTGATAAACTTTTTACAGATATGAATAATCTTACGTATCCTACCTTGCCGACTTCTCACCTACAACAGTGGCCGCTCCCATCTTCAGTATCATCTCTTTTTTTTTTTTTATTGATCTAATACTACTTGGGCAGCATTGGCCGTTAGTTATTTTCGGTTAACATTTTGCTCATTTTAATGTTAATTGGATATAATGTGCGTTTCTTCAGATTATATATTATTGGTTGATATTTAATAAATCATACACAAGTTTAAATTTGGTTGTTAATTTATTTAAAAAAAAAAAAAATTATACGCATTATTTCGTTTTACGAGTCAGAACGGTTGGGGGGAGGGGGCTGAGGACTTTTAAACCCCTCTGTCGGTTTTTATTTTTCAAATGTTTTCTTCGGGGCTTTTTCGATTTCGAGCGCTTTTCAATCCGGTTCCCGACGGTCTATATAATTATAATTCATAATAATAATAATACGATCGCGAAGGTCACCGGTGTGCACGCTGCTCAGCAGAACAGAAATCACGTATCGAGTCGTATATATGCCGTCATGAATTTGAGCCCCCTCCTCCCCCCCCCCGGCCTCTTTGTCCGACCGATTTCAAAATACCACCGGACAACTGCTGCCGATGAGGAAAAGAAAAAAATGAAAACTGAAATATAATTTGTATATTATGCATATATTACGTTTTTATTATTATTAATTACTTTTTTTTTTCGTTTTTTTTTTTAAATCAACATGATAAATATTAAAACACCTTACATTACGCATATAATATATAATCATTTATGTGTACAACATTTACAATATCGAGAAATCATCATGTCCGTTACAATTAAAAACGTTTAATACACAATACAATATAGTTCACAGTACACAACGACGGTCGTCCGTAAATTATAATATCGTACCGCGTAACACTTTGGTTTTTTAGCTAAAACATAATTATTTACAAAATACGATTTAATAATAATTACGCAGGTACGTGCCCGCATAATATTGTTTTAAGTACCTACACACACACACACACACACACACACATGTATAGAATATGATAAATTATAATATTACCTTTGTTTTTTTATATGTATATATATATATATGTATTATAATTATCTAAAACGCGGTACAAAGTTTACGTTGTAATGTTTCAGTGATGCGACGCGTAGGTAGCAATAGGTACTAAATTAAATTAACAGTATACTACACGGTTAAATTGGAAGTGATACGATGTTGTTACATTAATAATATTTCAATAATTATACGCCTGCCGGACCGGGAATTGGGCGGTGGTGGTGGCGGTGGGGGGTGGGGAAGGAATTTTTTTTGTTTTGTTTTTACAACGCGACTTACAAAATATTAATTTAATGTTACGCATAAGAATCACAGACATATATTATACAACGTTATAATCTAACAATAGAAATATATTTATTTATTTATTTATTCATTTATTTTATTTTATTTTTTTTTTTTTTTTTTTTTTTTTATATAATAATAATATACGTTAATAAACGTAAACGAAAAAAAAAAACGAATAATAATACGCATAGCTACTTAATGTTACAATAATAATTTGTTCGCCCTCCGGATGGTTTTCGCGATAGTATTACGCGCGAACGGGGCGTCGTCGGTGGCGGGCGCACGTTTGACAAGGGGGCGAAAACAGTCGGTGATGTAATTACACCAGCGCTCGGGACTCGTTGCGCGCGGAGTTCCGCAAAAAGGCGCTTGGAAACGGCGAAGAAAAAAAAAACACACGGAAAACTATTTGAAAAAATACGATTATGTTCTCATAACGATCTTTCGTAGCGATTGTTTTCCCCGTGGGGGCTTTTTCGCGTGTTTTTTTTTTTGTTTTCTCCCGCCGTATTCAAGCGCCGCAGGTCCCGAGCCCCGAACATTACCGGTATAACGTATCCAAACGTCCCGGGACCTTTGCGCGCGGTTCGCTCAACGGTGTCGCCGACGGTTTCGCGCGTAGTACCGACGCATGCTAATATTATTGTCACGTAGGAACTGTCGGTACGCTGCGGTCGATTAATTTGACGGACAAAACCGCGTTGGGGCGAAAAGGCACTGGAGTTTCGGCCCCACACGGCCGTTCGGAACGTCGCGTTCAACTGGACCGGGCGCGTCGGAACCGTCTCCCCGGTGTCCGTCGCCGGGGACGCGCGACGGGCGGCGGCGTTTCTCCGAACGCGTTTACCGGTTTACCGCGTTTTCGGCCGCCGGTTCGGAAATATCGGTTCTGTTTGCGCGTTTCACCCAACTGTCGGCCGACATCGATGTACGCGGCGGCGGGCGTTGCGCGACCGCGTCCTTGGCGACGTTATTGGGTTTCTGGGCGCGAAACGCGTTCGCGTGATGCGTTTCGGCGACATCAATCTGCGCGACACCGAATATCCCGCGCGCCAATTGTTTTCAAGGATTTCCGAGGAGAGGAGAGAGAGAAAAAAGAACAACGAGTAAAATAAAAAAAAAAAAAAAAAAAAAAAAAATGATTTCCCCCTCCACGGCCCGCCTTCCCCGTTTGGCGAAACCGCGCGCGCGCGCACAAATTACGGCGGGACGACAATACTGTACGCCGTGTCGTTACTAAACGACGACGACAAATAAAAAATATATAATGTGTACCGCGTCTCGCATATGAAAAAAAAAAAAAAAACAAAAAAAAAAACATTTTTTTTTATTTTTTTTTTTTTCAGTCATTTTTCGACCGGTTTGTTAAAATGATGTTTGAATAAAATTTCGTAATGCCGTTTTTCGACGGTACGCGCGGCATAGTTTTTTTTAATAACAACAATATCGGGAAGTGCCCGCGCGCACATTATCTCATTGACGAAAATTAAAATAATAATAAAAAGTAACAAAAAAAAAAAAAAAAGAAAAAAAAAAAAAACCCGCCGCCGAAAAACCTGTTCGCGTTGTCGCACGCGAACAGTCCGGACGGAACGCGGTCGCCCGCAGAGCGGTACCGCCGCCGCGGGTTCTGCGGTTTTATTTTCGGACGGGTTCGAAAAATCGGCTCGGTACGCCCGGTTTCGCGGGTGTGACGCGACGGACGATTACGGTTAGGTTTCCGTTAACACGCCGCGTGATGTTGCCGTTTAGTCCCGTAGACAACGCGCGCGGACAATTTCGCGCGCAGGACGCGACGCGGGCGACGTGTCTACCGGCTGCCGCGGCGGTCACGGCGTTTTCGCCCTAGCGTTTGTCGATGCGATTCGGGCCGGTTTCGTCGAACGCCGTTGCAGTTTGCCCGTCGGTTCGCCTCCGAACACCATCGGTGTCCGAATCCGTTGTTTCGCCGGGCGGCCCGGCGGTCGGCGTGTTGCGTGTCCGCCTTTTCCGTTATCGCCCGTCCGTACGGTTGACGGCGCACACCTAAACCGAGTTCAACCGCTTCGGTAACACCAGCGTGCTCTCCGATCGCGCACTCGAATCGCGATTTATCGTCCATGTTTCGGGTGCCGATCGTTACGCGACGTTATTGTGCGCGCGGAGTTGGTTGTTGTTTTTTTTTTTTATTGTTTTCACAATCGTTTCACTCGGATTTCCGTACGGGGGGACAGTCGATGGGCGAGCCGAACGAATCGCGAAATCGCCTTCTCCACCGGACTCGTCCACGTCATGGCGGCTGTCGGCAATTTAAAAGCCGGGTCTTAGAAAAGAAATTATAAAAACCGATTTTCATCGGCCCATTGAGCTTTCCCCCGCGACTCGGCCGAAATACGCGCGCATTTCGACGTGAAACCGCTCGTGTTCGTTTGTATTTTTAAGCCGGCGGGTAGGCGGGGGACGGATATCGTCCCTGACGTCCCGACCCGCGCACCACGCCCCATTCCCGGCAGACAGTTTTTCGGTTAGAAAATTCGAATTATTATTCGGAAAATTCGTGTTTTAGAAACCGACGGTACGCCGGTTTGGAAATACGAGACTTCAAACATTTTCAACGGAATCAGGCTCGGTACAGACTGATTTTTCCGTTACGAAGGAGTTTCCATTACGGGGAGACTAAAACACGCGGGTGTAGGGTGCAAGCGAGACTACCGTTCGATGTCCGTTTAGAGGAGTTTTCCGCTTTATAGAATGGTCCGTTACGCGGGGAGGTTCGGCTGTAATATGCGGGGTTGGTTTTTTTTTTTTTTTTTAATGAAAAAGCGCGGTCTGTTGGGGCGCGGCCTTCGGAGACCCCTTCCCCCCACTCCCTATGAAGCCACCCCGGCCCGATTGTCGCGCGTAACACACTGCGTATCGATACAAATTGCGTTTGTTAATTTTTTTTACATTTTCTAATATATTCAGGCGAATAATAAATTATCGATAGCAATTAATCGTAATTAACGATATCACGGCAACGGTCGCACGAACGAGCGCGCGGGGGTTTTTCAACGAGTTCGGATGGGTTTGAGTGAGAGGGGGGGGGGCGGCGGGCGAGGTTAACAACAATGATAATAATAATAATAATAATAATAATAATAATAATAATAATAATAATAATAATAATAATAATATTAATAATAATAATATATACAAAACGTGTGCGGCCGACGCGAACGGCGGTAAAATACTATACAGTAATAATTACAGGTGTTCGGGTGTGCGGCTTATCGGTCTAATGTTTTTTTTTTTTTGGGGGGGGGGGGGGGGGGGGGGGGGGG